TCTATTTCTATTTGATTAAAACAGACTACCAGTGGAATGAATAAAAAACAGATTTTTTGTCTCTTTGAACCTATAAAATACTAGGTTCATTTATTAAGAAAGTACAGTTACCATAACAGTATATAGAACATTATTCAGACATCTTCCGGCAGCTGCAAGTTTTCTACACGGCAATATGAAGAAAAAAAGACACAGAATGGAATCTTGGCCAAACTGACCTGCGAAAGAACGTTTTAAAAAAATTAATGGAAACTGTTCTGCCATCGCAGCGATATTTTTTGGGGGGCAGGCTAGGTGGAAGTAGGCTACCAGTATCATATATTTCAAGGGAAATTCAGAACAACGAAGGCCAACAAAATTCTGTCATTTTAAAGCTGCCTGGTTACCACCAGACCTACCGGTAATCACATTTGTCTATCAGATCAGAACGATTGTGTGACTGGTTATACTCCTGCAGCAGCGTGTCGCAGCGAGCTTGACACAGACATTTTTGATTTATGCTCAATATTGAAGCGTGGTCTGTGCTATATGCTGTGGGTCTAGACACGTCTGATACGATGAGGAAGTGGGGGCGAGTAGTCCGACAACGGTGGGACATGACGGCCAAAAAGAGCGGAGATCCAGGTGGGAAAAGGGTCCCAGCGTTCTCTCGCACCTCGCTCTTCTAGCTGGTCAAACTTCACGAGTTGTTTTCCGTAATTTCGGTCATAAAAACAAAACAAGCCGGCCTCCTGTCTGCAGCACTGTCTGCGCTAAGGATGGGACTTCCCATGCTAATGGCTTGGATTCGTTAGCAAACATTGCCCCCCTGTGGTACTTGTATGTAACTATCACAAGTTGTTGAGGACTGCCCAGAAACATTGTTGGTTCAATTATAGCTCCGGCCTGTATAAGAGCTCGATCATAATTTACCTCCGCCAACAGCCAGACAGGCCATTATTAGAGACCCGGCTGCTAATGAAATGCAGGCCAATATTAGAGGATTTATGGTAATTCCTGACTTCTTTCCTCAGGTAGACGCAGGAATGTCTCCTAATCCCAGATGGGATATTTGCTTGAATCGGGTGATTTTCATGGTTCAGAGGAGATGGACACTCAGTAGGGCAGGCAGCCATGTTCATGACGGAGCAATAGGAGAGCTTTAGGAAGTTTAGCTTGAACTATGGTCCCTGCACCATGATCGCTGCACTATGATCGCTGCACTATGAGCCCTGCACTATGATCCCTGCACCATGATCTTCGCACTATGATCCTGGCACCATTAGCCTCCTGCACTATGGGGCATGCAGTATGATCCCTGCACCACGATCCTGGCAGTATGAGCCCTGCACTATGGTCCCTGCACCATGATCCCGGCACTATGATCCTGGCACCCTTAACCCTGCAATATGATCGTGACACTATGACTCCTGCACTATGGGCCATGCAATATGATCCTTGCACCATGATCNTGCAATATGATCCTTGTACTATGATCCCTGCACCATGATCCTGGCACTATGAGACCTGCACTGTGATCTCTGCACCATGATCCTGGCACTATGAACCCTGCACTATGATCCTTGAACTATTTTCCCCGCACCATGATCCTGGCACTATGAGCTGTGCATTTTGATCCTTGCACCATGATCCTGGCACTAAGATCTGTACACTATGATCCCTGCACCATGATCCTGGCACTATGAGCCCTGCACTAAAATCTCTGCACCATGATCCTGGCACTATGAGCCATGCACTATGATCCTTGTACTATGGCCCCTGCACTATGAGCTGTGCATTATGTTCCTTGCACCATGATCCTGGCACTATGAGCTGTGCACTATGATCTCTGCACCATGATCCTGGCACTATGGGCCATGCACTATGGTCTCTGTATTATAATCCCTGCACCGTGACCCTGGCACTTTGGGCCATGCACTATGATCCCTGCATTATGAGCCCTGCAATATGAGCCCTGCACCATGATCCTGGTACTATGAGCTGTGCACTATGACCTTGTACTATTTTCCCTGCACCATGATCTTGGCAATATGAGCTGTGCATTTTGATCCTTGCACCATGATCCTGGCAAAATGATCTGTGCACTATGATCCCTGCACCATGATCCCGGTACTATGAGCTGTGCATTTTGACCCTTGGACCATGATCCTGGCACTATGATCTGTGCACTATGATCTCCGCACCATGATCCTGGCACTATGAGCCATGCACTATAATCTCTGCACCATGATCCTGGCACTATGATCCTTGAACTATGATCCCTGCACCATGATCCTGGCACTATGAGCTGTGCATTATGATCCTTGCACCATGATCCTGGCACTATGAGCTGTGCACTATGATCTCTGCACCATGATCCTGGCACTATGAGCTGTGCATTATGATCCTTGTACTATGGTCCCTGCACCATGACCCTGGCACTATGGGCCACGCACCCTGCATTACGAGCCCTGCGGCATGGGCCCTGCACCATGATCCTGGCACTATGAGCCCTGCACTATGATCCTGGCACTATGAACCCTGCACTATGATCCCTGCATTATGAGCCCTGCACCATGATCCTGGCACTATGATTCCTGCACTATGATCTCTGCACCATGATCCTGGCATTATGATCCTGGCACTATGATCCTTGTACTAGGATCCCTGCACCATGACTCTGGCACTATGAGCCCTGCATTATGAGCCCTGCACCATGATCCTGGCACTATGAGCTGTGCACTATGATCTCTGCACCATGATCTGGGCACTATGAGCTGTGCACTTTGATGTCTGCACCATGATCCTGGCACTATGAGCTGTGCACTATGATCTCTGCACCATGATCTGGGCACTATGAGCTGTGCACTTTGATGTCTGCACCATGATCCTGGCACTATGAGCTGTGCAC